CGCTAATATGAGCGACGCATATATATACTCAATTGTATCTTTTGAGCACCCTCTTAAGGTTTTATATACCTAAGCCGAACCGAGATTCTATGCCTCTAGTGTAAATTGTATCATGTTTTATAGATCGAAATTTGTTCAAGGGTTACTGGCATAGCTCCTTGCACGTCTCAAATCCTGATCTTCTGAATCGTCTTCCCGAACAACGGGGCCGATACCGTCGCTCGCGTTGGCGATCTTCTCGTCTTCCTCGCCGGCGTAGGCGTACTTGCTCTTTTGCCGGATGCGCGCGCCGTAAGTCCAGAATAGGAACGGGATGCCGCAGCAGGCGAGACTGATGAACGCGAGAAGCGTGCTGGCCCACTCGTAGCCTAGACGCGCGTACATCTGGTTTGTGAATAGAACGACGGCTGCGCCCCAGAACGAACGGATACATGTCTTGGCTGCGAGGGCGGAGGCGGCTTGGTGCTGGTATGCGTCGACGAGGTAGTTGTTGGCGCTGTTGTATAGGAAGATGAAGCCGAAACCGACGGGGAAGCCGCCGAGAGCGGGGCCGACCCAGATGAGACGAGGGTACGATGTCCAGGCGAAGATGAACAGACCTATTGGGATGAACCAGCAGGAGCACATCATGGGGATAAGACGTAACTCCGGCGGGGGGAGACCATTGTGCTTAGCGATGAGTTTTCGGTAGTGCGCGTTGACCAGGGGAGCACAGACAGCTGAGCATACGACACCGACAGCTAGGGGAATGCTGTTGGATCCAAGTCAGCGATTGAACTGAAATCCAAATAGGGGTTAAGTGTTTACTTACAACATAAGACCGGTAATACCGGCAGAATACCCCTTGCCTTCCTGGAAAATGATAGGGAAGGCAACGAAGAACATGTACAAAAGACCGTATAGTACGGACATGTACAGACTAATTAAAAAGACGATTAATTCTCCAAAGAGGAGCTGGAAAGGCCGAATCAAGAAAATGGCCAATCGTTCGCTGAAAGGCCGCTTGTCAATGTCCTCTTCTGTAACGTAGTCTGCTTCGCCGGTTTGCTCGCGCATCTTCTTAGCCCGCTTGGCTAGAATAGTGGGCGCGTACGTCTCGGGGACAGTGAATGTGATTAAGATCCAGACGATGAAGGCGAGGATTAAGTGAATCCAGTAAAGCCAACGCCAGCCAGCGGCATCAGATAGGAAACCACCGACGAGGGGACCGACTATAGTTATGTGTTAGCCAATGTTGTTGGAATAGATCTGATTGTAGAAGTACATACTAGCAGGACCGATAAAGGGGGCGGCAGAAAAGGCAGCCATTGGGATACCTCTCTCCTCGGACCTCCAGAGATCAGCTAGGGTACCACCGACAAGCGTCATGGGCGCAGAGAACGCGATGCCATCAATAGCTCGGGCAACTAGGAGAGTAGCAATGTTCTTCGCAACAGCACCGGGAATAATGAAGACCACGGCGACTAGTAGTGTCGTTCCATAAATAATTCGTCTTCCATAGATTTCAGATAGCGGCGCGAATATCATAGGTCCTTTTTAACCGTTAGTCGGTTTTCATATTATCCATTTCGGTTGCTTCAGGGGCTTTCCACTTACCGACACCGAATCCCACGACGAACAATGTGATACTTAGCAGCGCAACCTCGTCACTAACACCGAACTCGTCGGCTACACCAGCAATATCGGGCGTGACGACACTGGACGAGAAAGCTACGACGAAACACGTTATAGCAACAACCATAGTACAGTACCACTTGTATCCCTTCGACCAGTTCTTAGGGTTCTCGGGGTCATTTGGCACGAATGTGACGAGTTTGTAGCGGTGCTCTCCATCTGGTTCTACCGGGCCGGGTATCTGGCCACTGGGTGTTTCTGTGGTATATTCTGAAAGGTTGGCGTCGCCGGAAAGCGTTCGGTAGGGTAAGTTGACGTCCAAGTTCGGATCCCGAATTGTTTCCTTGGTAGAACTGAGAGCTAATGGGTTTGTAGGCTTGTGAGTCAACGAGCCAGGGATGATTGACCCATACTGGGCTTGGTCGGCTCGGTCAACGCGATCGATTTGATTATTGTTATGTTCTATGGATGGGCCCTCCATAGTGGGCACTTTGTAGGGGTCCATGTTGATTTATTGTCCTTATATCCTTGAGGAATGTAAAAGGAAAGGTATCTCTCAAGATGTCACACGGTGAGTGTGGGAATGTTTATGGATATATACTAAAAGCGCGAAGGGGGGGCGGGATCCATCCCTTATATATGATATGAGAAGGACATGACCCTTGAGACTCTAGACCAGAAGTCATCGGGTAATGAATTGTCTGGCTGAGGGATCCTATTGGTCTACACGAGGTGGTAGGAAGTCTTATGTAGAACTAAGACAAAGAACTGGATGCTGCCCGGTGGCGGAGCTACCGAGATTTCCTATTAGAGTATATCCCCATTGTTATGCGAGAGGAGATAGGTCCATGGGTTGTTGATAATGGCAAATCTGTGAACCTGGGAATGCTTAATTCGGAACACATTTAGCTTATTCAGGCGCGAGAGCGCGAGCTAAGTTAGATATGGTAGAGGGAGGAGATGATTCGGCGAATTTCGGTGTTGTGAAGGATCCACAGGGCCGGGACCCACTAGGATCGGGGCCACACGGCTCGAATTTCACGGCCGGAACGTGGCGATTGAGGAAGTTGAAAGCATTCTGCGATCAACTAAGAACGATAGACAATTCATAACTGGAAAAGGATCTACATGTGGCTCACTTCAATAGTTAAAGATCTCCCGAAAAAGAAAAACTCATCATAATGAGCAGGTATTGAAAAGCAGGAGAAAAGTGGTGTCGTAAGGGGCTGAAGGGTTGAATCACATTCGATTATGGGCGTTCCTCGAGCCGCAAATTCCAGGGGTTCCACTTTTTGCAGCTTAAAAGCTAAGGAAAAGCTAGGGACCCACAGAAGCAAAAAACTCAGTACCGGGCTTACTCGATTCGGTAAGATCCAAGAGAACGGAAGCCAGTCAATCGATCGATAAAGTCACATTTACCAGATTGAGGTTTCATTTTTCCCCTGTGCGACTTTGTAAGGGTTCATATGTAAACATTAGAACACTGACGTAAGATGGAATGCAGCTGTTAATATAAGTTGAACTGTCAGTTTTTTCTTCAAGAACACCCCCGTCGACTCCTCTCTTGTTGACATGTATTCAAAAGTAGAAAAGTTCAAACAGAAAAAGTAACGGTAATTAATATCTTATCGACAAATGCAAAAACGGGCTGGACCGGTGACGCTAACGATCTCGTTGTGGGCCTCTGATAAATATGTAAGATGACGGGGATAGCTACATGTAGGTATTACATCTTGTCGGGAATGCCCTAGGTTAGGTGATCCTTCTTCTTACCTATGTACATGTGCTCCTAACGATTCTACATACAGCATTACACATGAGAAGGCTTGGCGGGTTAAAGTACATACCTCTCTTCTCCAACAGTGGCTTCGCGTGACAAACCATCAAAGAGAAAGTCTCGAAGCTCATGATCTCATTCATGCTTACACATATCATCTGCTTAAAGCTGATCGTCGTTACTAGCTACATCCGGCGAGTTCTATTGATGAGTTGAGCTCAGTTACGTCGTTCATGGGCATACATACGATAGACCACCGCGTTGCTTTGGACATTCATATCTCTAATAGAGAATGTATGTACATACATACACTACAGGGTTCACAACGCGTGTTTTTTGAGATCGACTAGGGTAGGGTCAAGGTATGAAAGAAAGAGCCTTGACATGATGGATCTAGTTAACTAAAATGCAGTACCTAACCGAGACATAATGGATCCGGTTAGCCAAGATGCAGAGAGCTCCATATCTACATAGCCCGAGCGGCGTCGAAGGCTTGAAATGGGCTTACCTAAGGGTAAAAGCTAACCCGGAAATAAGGGAAGCTTATTATCCTCGGTAATAGAGGAAAGCTTGGCTGTCGTCAGGAACAACTTTTAATCCTCGCCTTATCATAAAAGTTCGCCCGGCCGGCTAACTAAAAACCTCCTGGTTAACCACGGCGCTTCACCGTACGAAAGAATACCCGATGAATCCTCCTTTATAACTCCTTATTTTATAATTCCTTGTCAATAGTCTCGTCGATGTCATTGTTACCTACCTCGCTTTCTACGCTATGATATACCCAAACCGGCCAATGGCTACCAGGAGATTATTATTATTTCAACAGAATTTGGCGATCAAAATTCAAAGCAGGACGTAGTACCAGCACCGCCGTTAGTAAAGGTGCTACGATATTTGACGATGTGGACTTCCCGTGCATCGAAACCCTTGTCAGTTGGGCAGCAGAGACACTAGAGTAGAACACGAGTGCTATCATGTAAACGTTGACAGGTGGGTCGAAGTCTTTCTTAAGATACAAGGTGTGATCTACCATCATCCATTAGGAACAGTGACATCTAAGGGACGAGGGTTGGATACACACGTGGATGGCTCCCCTGAATCCACGCGGGAGTTGCCAACGCTGTGTCACGAAGGTTCAAAAGCCACGCAATATTCCGAGACCCCTTGGTCAGTATCTTATCATTGGCAATAGTGGTGTGATTTATCTATAAATATACGCCCTGCTTGGAGACGTGGAACTGTTCTGCGATATTTACATACATCCATCCTTCGAGATATCCTTTCATGTGAGCGGAAATAGGGGCCAGGGTTACTTAAGGTCACACAGGAATGCATAGTCCAGCCGGAACCATCCATCTCTTCAATCATTATGCAAGACACTTGGTTAGATACATGTATGTCATAAGATAGTTCAATAGACCAGCTTAACCCTTGGTCCTTCTACTGTATACAGTTCCAAGTCCTGGCGATTCTAGTTTGTTGCCGACAGCTACCTAGGTACCTTAAGGTATTGTACTCGGGTCGTAAACGTCTCGGCTATTAGCTAAAAATTCCAAGAAGACTTTCTAGAGCTAAAATACCATGTAAACTCTGTGTTATATATAACCATTCTGGCGTGCCTATTACTTGGATGTTTCAAGCTAGGCTTGCAACTAATAGAGATAGCCCTACGGCTCTCGTGATGAAATCTACTGGTCTTCTTTTATCCAAGGGGGTCCAATTCTAGTCTTGACTTGACAATAAACAGGTTTAAGGCGGTAACCAGCTATCAACTCTGCCCAAACCAACTCTCTAGTGTAACTCTTCATATTAAAAGGGGTCCACTAACACGTCAGCATGAAGATTTCGTATTCCCGAATTTCTAGATCGTATCATACACCAAGAACCACGTCATGCGTATACGTAGCTCATAGTTTCAACATTTACCATTTCATCATGCTCTAGAGTTACATTACGGGAAGGAGACGTTTCGTAAGCAGAGGGGAGATTCAACGAGCCACGGGGACTGGAAGTCAAGTGTACATGGGCTCCAAATATAATACAATCCGAAATCCCGTATACACAAGAGAGCAACGCCAAGATTTTCCCCCATGCCGGCTGACAAAAAGCAAAGCCGAAGATGCCCGTTCTATCCCTCTTGCACACATGAACCAGCCCCTTCCTAAAACAGTCCGTGGTCGGGTTTATTGAACGATTCGTGTAATGATTCCGGTCGCGACGGTTCGGCCACCCTCGCGGACGTTGACTTGCTGACCAACCTCGATGGCGATGGGGTTGTGCAGGGTAGCAACCATCTCGACGTTGTCACCGGGCATGACGGCCCTGGACCTGTCTTCAGCGTCCTCGGGGAAGTGAAGGGCCACAGCCTCGTCGGCAGTTCGTAGGTACATCTGGGGTCGGTAGTTCTCGACGAAGGGGGTGTGTCGGCCACCCTCCTCCTTTGTCAGGACGTATAGGGAGACCATGAACTTGGTGTGGGCCTTGACGGTACCAGGCGTGACGATAACCATACCTCGCTTGATATCCTCTCGTCGAATACCTCGCAGGAGCAGACCGGAGTTGTCACCAGCTCGGGATTCATCGCAGGACTTCTTAAAGGTCTCGATATCGGTAACCTTGGTCTTGATGATCTCGGAACCCTTGCCGATCAGCTCAACTTCAGCATCCCTCTTCAGGATACCTCGCTCAACACGACCGGAGGCGACAGTTCCACGTCCGGCAATGGAGAAGACGTCCTCAACGGACATCAGGAAGGGCTTGTCGAGGTCACGCTGGGGGGTAGGGATCCACTCGTCGACGGCCTTTAAGAGCTCATCGATCTTCTCAACACCGATATCGGGTCGCTTGCCTTCCATGGCCATCAGGGCAGAACCCATGATGACTGGGGTCTCGTCACCTTCGAAGCCGTAGTGGGTGAGCAGCTCACGCATCTCCATCTCGACCAATTCCAACATCTCGGGGTCCTCAATGGCATCGATCTTGTTGACAAAGACGACAATCTTCTGGACACCGACCTGACGGGCAAGAAGAAGATGTTCTCTCGTCTGGGGCATTTGACCATCGGAAGCAGCAACGACAATGATGGCACCGTCCATGTTGGCGGCACCAGTAATCATATTCTTGATGTAATCGGCGTGACCAGGACAGTCGACGTGGGAGTAATGTCGGTTTTCCGTCGAGTATTCGATGTGTGCGGTAGAAATGGTAATACCACGCTTCCTCTCCTCAGGCGCCTTGTCGATAGCGCCATATTCTAGGAAGTTTGCCAACCCCTTCTCGGCCTGTCTCTTCGTGATAGCAGCAGATAGGGTAGTCTGGTTCGAGACAATTAGTTAGAGTTGGCGGGGTATTCTAGAATATTATGATTTGATATAATGTATAATGTGATTTGATATCTTATAATTTGATATGTGCTCTTAACATACCTTGCCGTGATCGACGTGACCAATGGTACCGACGTTTACGTGAGGCTTCGTCCTCTCGAAGACGGCTGCGTATGAACGGGCGATGTTGAGGGCTGCGGCAACATTTTGCTGTCGCACAGCAAATTGTAACGGGTTGGCGATGCTGCCGGATCTGAGGGAGTGGCGAGAGGCGCGCAAGAACGGCGCCAGGGTGCGCGTCAACGCCGACATGTTAAATTGATTTTACCCTGCAGCCGAAAAAAAAGAAACCCAATTCACACGGAAAGAAAGGACTGGTGATGAGAGTCGTGGAGGGGGGAATAAAATGACCAAGCGGTATTGAAGATAAAAAAGCTCCCACCAGCTAGAAAAATTTCATTGGAAGTTACTGCGTTCGCGTTGATTGGCCACTCGAGTCCACAATTCCTTATCGCCATACCGATTAAAGTTATATTGATGCCCACATTCTCGGAATTTAGTCGCAGCGCTATGTATTTATTGGAAAGTGCAATTGAATGCCATCGATTGGTCAATTGTCTTTTATAATATCATATAAACGTAGCACATGTATGTATACCTAATGAATACAAGATTGCAAGGTGACACATCATAAATATGTAATCTAAGTCAGTCTTAAAATATGACATAAATTATATCTCATCATCGCATTCCTCCTATATGATATCGAAATCCGGCGCTTCTCCATATTCTTGTACTGTCCATGCCCCCTGGCCCTCTATAATAGCATTCACAAACTTGGCATCGAATTCTGCCTTTTCTATTTCCCGTTCAGACACGGCTTTCCATTCAACCCAGTCTGTTGCCTTTGCTCCCTCGGGAGCTCTCAGGAGACCTACTGCAATACTAAGCACCTCGCTATGTTCCGAGGGCCTCCTATCTGTATTTTGGAGGAATACCGTAGCACCACAGCGTCCACAGAATCCTTTTGTGATTTTATCTGATGCCTTATATGTCTTCATCGTCCCGATGAACAGATTCGGCGGCACCTCCGGTTCTAGCGAGATCCGTGGGACCAGAGCCCATGGCATGAAATAAGCGCTCGAGAGCCGTCGAGTTTCTTTGTCAAAATCTAGATGTGCTTTCCACTTCCGCGGGTCTCCCGGCGCGATACATCGGCTCATAAACTCGTCCTTCTTTACTATATCCGACGGCCTTCCGATCGTGAAAGAAACCCCACCGCACTGACACTCCGCGCGCAATCTCTCCTCGCCGCCCTCACCAATTTCGAGCTTATTATCGGGCGCGATATCACGGTCCACGGTGAGTATCTTTAAGCCCGAACTAACCGAACTCGAAATCCAGGACATCAAGCCGCCGTCCCCGGGGGACTTTGGAAAAGCTAAGGCCTTCATCTCCCAGAAGCTTGGTTCGTCGAAAAGCGCCATGTCCGCGACCCACTGCATAGCCCAGGGCTCGTAGTGCCCATTATGCGTTCCGCAGGTGGGACAGAAACAACGCTGTCCGTGGCCACCGGGACCGCTGCCCTGGGTCTTGTATACGGACAGGTTAATAGTACCATTAGTCCACTCCGGCATTACGCCCTGAGTCAACGAGACGTGAAAACTTCCGAAAGCGCCATGCGAGTATCGGCATAAAGTGCATGAACAGATATATGCGTGCAATGGCAGACTCGAAGCTGGGAGTACGACCGAGTATTGTACGTTCCCGCAGTGACACCTCGCCGCAAATATCCGCGACTCTTCTCCCGACTCGGCTGTGGCAGCCTTGTCGCGGTTGAAGAAAGTGACGAGGAGGTCTAATGTTAACATATTTGCCTGAGTAAGTTAGACAGATGACTTTGTTAGGGCTTGGTAATAGTGAATAGGTTGAATGCTAGGAATCTCAAGTATATTGATGGATCAATTGCGAAGTAAGTGTTGAAACCGGGACTCGGACTCGATCCATCAATCCTGACTTTGCTTCTGAATTATTATGAACGTACACGCAGCCAACAACATGCAGTGTTGCGGCGGTGTAATACGTATGCAAGGGGTATCACCTGAGGGACCTCTGCAAGGGAGTATCGTTTTCATCACGAAGACAAACAGCCATGGCCATTATACTGAAGAATGCCCTTGTATAGTATTTAACATACCTTATCCTCAGCCGAATACGCCATAATTACCAAAGTCTAAGGATTTTCTGATAGAGTTGATCGAAAATTGAACCAAATGGAGTGGCGCTGAATTTATACACACGTAAAAGCCAAGGTAGGATTATCACAGCACCAATATGTCGGTATGCAACCCTAAGTTCCAACCGATGGTCTTCATAGCTTACTACAGCCAGCGTGTGCCTTGTTCATGGGGGTCAAGTTATCTAGATGCATAGTTCGGAGCGGATTTCGGTCTCCGAATTGTTGCTGAGATATCATAAATTCGATAAATCGGTTTCGTAGGTGGCGATAAGCCTCCATGATCTCCAACTGCTCAGCCGTCTTCCCAATTAATAGTTCGTGTTCGCTATCGGTTTCTGACTGAGAGCTACCGTTCGAGTTTCGCATCGCAGCTATATCGTTAAGCGACTTCCAAGGCTTTTCTTGGCACTCGCAAGTGGTCCATTCGCCTTCATCATCCGAATCGTATTTTGGCACGGGTGGCACAACCCCGTAGTTGAGGTATGCTTGGATATGTCCTATAGTGCAGAGTGAGACACACGCTATGGTGCAGTGGCCCTCCGCCTTTTGCTCTACGAGGCTTGCTTCCGAAAACTTGCGCGTCATTTTCAGAGCATGGTGCAGAGGAGTGACAGGATCGAGATGATTTGATAGGAACAGGACGGGAAAACTTGTTTCAATAAGGTTCGGTTTATGAATCGGGTGGTCATCCCATCGCATTGGTGGATCCTTTGCCTCGATTTCCCACCCGCTGCAACCCAGATGGGGGTCGACACCCATCCACTAAGATATCTGTTAGGGATGTCTCTGACTATTGAGACTAGGTATTACTTACAACGTCGGCAAATGAGGAATAGGAAGCCATCTTCTCAAAACGCTGCTGAAGTGCGTCGGGGTCTTCATTAAGCTGCTAGATGTTAGGGCTATCCCTCAAGAAGCTGCTGAAGATTAACGAAATCTCACCTTATATCGCTTGTCACTACACGCGATTACTTTCTGAGCATCATCTGGCCATTGAGGTAATGTTAAGTTTTGACAAAACATCCCCGGTGCTGAATCGTCTACTATCTTGTCAAGCTGGTTGTCGATGAGGGTTTTAAGAAGTATAGCCACGGTAGGGAATCCAGCAATCGGGGAGTACAATGCTGAAAATATGATGAGCTTGAAGTCGCCAGCCGTTATCAAGACAGGCAGATTTGACTGCGAGGGTAGAACAATTGCAGGCTCTTTCTCTAGCCAGCTCATGATATAATCAAAGCGTTCCTTGACATCTCCGGGATTGTCTCCGAGCCGGTAAAACTGACACTTTGGCCCTGCCTCGGCACAATAAATAAAGAATTGTTCCCATATCGCGTCAGCATCAAGGATACCGTCCCCTAACATCGGGTTGACGTAGTGGTCGGCGTCTACAACGCCATCTAGAATAACTCGACCAACTTTGTCTGGAAACATAGACGCAAATGTGGCGCCGAGGAGTGTGCCGTAGGAGAACCCCCAGTAAACGAGCTTCCCCTTGGTACTGTCTTTGGACTCTATTTTAGAGTTGATCTGTGTTTCATCGACAGTCTCTGGTTCTTCCGTGGACTTGGCGTCGGAACCTGATCTCCATTCGTCCCAAGCATGAACGATCGAGAGCATATCCCGCGCTACATTCGGAGTATTGGAATACCGGAATATGCTATTATCCCCTTCAGCCTCATCCCTTCTCTTGCAGAGCTTAGCAAGTGCTCTTGACCTAACGTCGAGCTTGTTGAGTGCGACGTTGCTTGAGTTAACGAGACCGATCATATGACCTGATGCAATCCAGCTTAGCCGGTTCATCAAAGCAATATTGCGTCCGTCAAGCCCAAAAGGATCATCAGGAGCTGCGAAACAATCCGCCTTGGGCGTGGTAGCACCAACTCCACGTGGATCGAAACCGATAACGTCACGATCTCCCCCAATGATTGTTTGAAGCGCTTGCGCCGAGAATAGGGTGAAAATCGCCCCGCTACCTCCGGGACCGCCAGGGTTAATGAGCAGTGGTGATTCCGAGTAGGATGATGGGTCTTCGGTACGGTTAATACCAGGCTTTAAGACCAGAGCTATGTGCACTTTTGGATTGTCCGCCGATTGGTTTAACGGCCGGTGATAATCCATGGGTACGGTCAGCCGAGCACACATGAAACTGTCACCGTATATCGCGAAGCACGGCTGCCAGATGAGCTTCTCGCTCGGTACGATCTATTTCATGTAAAGACGGCCACGTCAATAACCACTCCATTATGGCAAATTCGCGGCATTGTTGAGGAGAGCTTACGCTAGACCATTCTGTCCATCCATCGGGAGGCCCTGGCGGCGCTTGATTTCCCGAGTCCGGATGACGGTAGCTATAGTGAATCGGGCCACGTCCGAAATGGCCCATGATTAGAATACCAGATATGACGGTCAAGACTACCGCACTCAGCCGGCGCCAACCCCAGCTCGGTTCCCTTCGAAGCAATTGAACACGTGCTCGAACGTCATCGTCTTGCTTCTCCCCTGAGAAGGGCGACGTAGATGATTTCAAAGACGTCATATTCTCTTACGTCGGCGATTGCCCGCAACAAAAAAAAGGTTGATGACTTAAACAGCCTAGCTCATAAAATGGATACAAATATCTTATAGAAATACTTGAAGCTGAGAAGCAATTAACGAATTCGTAAGGCTCATCATCTATAATTGGAACAGGCAGCTATTACCGACCGAAGTGGTACGCAAGCCGAAGAGGTGGGATGGAACTTCAAATTACCCAAGGTAAATAATCGCACACGTAGGATTAAGATGCAGCCACTGTGCCTCTTCTGTATAACTCGGGCTGTTCGTCTTGGTTAATGGCCTCTGTATCTCAGCTCAACTCTCAAATCAATCAAGCATGTAAGTAAAATACCAGCCTCATAATTCATACTAATTTTACAATTTCCGAGGTTGGTATTAAACAGTTTAATTGGGAACCCCAGGATGTTGTAAACCAGGTTAAAGACATCTCCAGGTAAACAAACACTGTTTGCAACGCCACATTGAGGCTAAACAGGACGTCTCTAATTCCCCGCAGTGGGTTTTCGAATGGGTAAAACGTGGGACAGATCTATCCTTACTCATCTTAATTTTCTCTTCGGCAGACTCAAAATGGTTAACATTGCATCAACTTATACAAATTATTCAAGTGTCCAAGATATGGCATAAAAAGGAGTTTTCCCTATGTTACTTTTCATTACCTCAAAAAGTATCTAGACCAAGTAGGTACGCAGTCGTTTTCATTGGTCGACTACTTCAACGCTAGGTATGTCTTGGCTTTGCTTCATCGTTGGTCTCGATGCGGTACCCGACCTTGACTCACTTGGCGGCATTCCTTGGTATGAATTAAGCTTCACACTACATGTATTATCAAAGATCTCTCTCGAGTTCCTGCATAAGTTGATTTATTCTTTTCGTCCAAACTTGAGTACTATTCATAGCAACTTAAGGCGTCAAGTCGTTTGAGATGATACTAATAATCGTCGGTAGGGTTTCTTAATAGTTTAGACGGCCTGGATAATAAACCAAAATAGATATGTTTTGTATGATCTACATCGACAGTAGATTTCGCTACGTAATGCAATTCTTCGACTTGTCAATACTCATCCACCCCGGTCTCTAAAGGCGACTTCTACTATCATCTCAGGGCCAAGATGTCACTCAATTTTACAGGTCGCCATTCTGCACCTCTTGGCCGTATTAGCAATCTTCAATGTTAGGTCAAAGCGTCTGGAGGCTTATCTCGATCATCGCTAGCTTCCCCAAGTCAAGCGAATCAGTGGATTGCACGGCGGAGAAAGCTTGTTAGTCTTGGAACGCACTGGGCGCGGAGGTAGATGGGACCCTGGCTGCTTGGCAGGTCTCAAAACCCAGGATTGATACTCATCTCACACATTCGTCTTTTGCCTCTTGTACCATGCCGTACCCTAACCCGTCGCATTGACTGACCTACGGCACTTGGCAGGTTTAGCCAAGAGCCTCATTGTTACGCACTTAGAACGGTGCTGACTGCTTCCGCGAGCTTGTTTCTTTCAATCCCTGTCGACCAGTCACGTTTTGAGCGTTAATAATGTTGTTTGGTCTCCGCATCTACGAAGTAATGGCGAACAACTAGCCTTGTCTACGAGAGATCTCTTCGCTCCGCCAACATGACACACAAAACACCTTGCCGGAGATATTTTTAACATACTAGATGTCGAAGAAGAAACACCTTGGCACCGGAGGAGAGTGGGTACCCCATGTCGTTCACCTGCCCTAGCCGCTTGGCTTTCGAGGTCCTGACTTGATAGCTAGAAATTGCCGATGATCTAGGATTCTCAGCTGGCGACGTATATGAAGGCCTTAGTTGGCCCCGAGATGGTGATTTGGAGTCACTCAGCTGTGCTCAAGTCGTCGTCTGAACTTATTCATTTTCCGGTCTCTTCCTTAATATTTTATTTGCAGATTAATTCTGTCTTGCCTTCTTTCGCTGGTCGCCGCTGGTCGTTTTATACTACTGTAATAACTATTCTCACTATTTTATATTTAAAGCATACCCAGCCAAGATAACCCAAGCACATATTCCAAGAAATACTAGTCAAGATGGTCAGCTATCGTATGATTGCCGTTGCCGGCTTCCTCGCCAGTGTCAGCGCTCTTCCGCTAAACATTAACCTTGGCGCCTACTCTCCCGCATTGTACGTACTACTAACCTGCGTACACGTCTACCTGGTTGTCCCAGATATCTAATCGATCTATAGGGTGGTTGGTGATGGTGAGATTTCGTTCGGTGGAGGTCAAGATGTGACGAGCTTGATGAACGCCTTGGAGGGTGCAGCAGTCAACGCTGCTACCGGGTCGACTAGAGCCGCCACTCAAAATCCTGCTTCCGCACCTGTAGCCGCAAGCCCTATTACCACCCCAGTGGAAGATGATGGTGTTGTGGCCGCCCAAAGCATTCCGAGCAAAGATGACGAAATTTCCAAAGCCCTTAAAGCCCCCGAGGTTCCCGAGGCTTCTGCCGCGTCCACTACTACTACTTCAGACCCTAACTTGGAGCAACAAGGTGAGTTATTGATACCAAGCTTTCCTTGAAGGTCAAGACTAACATTATTTAAGCCGCTCAAATATCAGGTCTACAAGGCATGGGAAAGGAGATCGCTCCTCGTGACTCCGAGTCTCCCAAGGCCAAGCGTGATCTGGCTGGCTTTGACAGGGCTCTTACATTTGCCGAGGCCGCCTTAACCAAGGGGCCTACCATCCAGCTTGGCACTGGCGAGGGTGGTGCTGGTGTCGGTATCATTGTTGATAACAATGGCGGTGCTGTTGGCGAGCGTGCCAGGGCAGCTGCTAAGCGTGATGAATCTTCCTCGCAACCACGCCGACGAACCAAGGTTACCCGCATGTATGTCAAGCGTGGTGTCCCTGCTAGTGAGTGAACCCAAATTCCAACCTTTACTCTCGGTATTACATAGCATGCTAACTAGCACCCTGTTGAAAGCTATCCAGACATCTAGTAAATTCGAAGCTCGCTCCGTCCAGCCCCTCCCTGTTTCGCAGGCCGCATCAGTGGCTAAGCGAGAAAGCACTTCTTCCGATACCATCGACGCCATCAACCTAAACGTGGATGACGCACAAGGCTTCACGATGACGTTTGTTGAGACAACAGAAGACGATGACGATGCCGCGATAGACGAAGCGCATGAGTAATATACGTTTAACTATAATGTAACAACTACTGTTTGTTCTCCGTCTATTACATTTGTACAGTGGCATTTTTCATCGTTTTTGATACCATATATGGGAGTCTAGGGGCTGGGGGTTACGCTTGGGATGATTCATCATATATGTGCGGCATAATTTCTTATTTGGCTATGGCTATGGTGATCTCTCTATTACAGGAGAGATTGATTCGGCCTATAAAATATATATTACTCGGTAGTATAGAAAATTCAAAACGACCGGCCTGTTTACTTGACAGGCCGAGACCGGAAGAGAAAGACTTTTCAATAAGCGTGCAGGCTTTCTAAGAACAAGGTGTTGGTCAATGCTGTGGGTTCACGTCAAAACACCCAGTCGAACCCATGGAAGAGCAGGCGTTTCAACGCGCTGAAAGCTGCAACAGAGCCAAGATGTGATAAGAGGTTGCCAAGAGCCTCATCAGTAGTTCCATTACTGCGCCGCAACAAATAGCAATTGCCGGGCTCCACATCAAATAATACACTACCCAGGTATTTACACATCTCGAGTTTCCAGCAAGCACCGAGGGGGAGTGGACTCCTCAAACATTCCTATTTACTTCACATAACCTCTACTGTAACAGACCACCAACAAATCGACATCATGAATGCCTTATTAGAATCGTCAACGTAGCTTACCTAGGTACCTCATGCCGACACCACAGCCGACTTGAAACCCGATATTTCGCACAACTAGATGCCCCTTTATGACCCCCAGCTCCAGATACTAGGTTAGACCAGTCTAGAACTTCTTAAAGACCCGCTATTCCATTCTAAGCATATGTATGTACACTCTGAACTCCAAGCCAACCTCTACCCCATCTAATTATTCCACCGTCCATATCCCTCATTTTTCTGTTTTTGCCTCGTGTTCCAGCCGAGCTTCGCGCTGATACTCTTGACCCAATCCTCACTTCTTCGTCCTTGAGGCTGGACGCTGGCGAACGGGAACCGGCTGGCGCTAATAGTCACGTAGTCGCCGGGGAAGAGCTCGACGCGTTCGCGACCATCGAAGCTAGCCCAGCTGTTGGTGCGCGCGTCGTACGGCACTCCGATGCGCAGCACGATCGTATCTGGCAAGATGATAGGCCGGAACGATAGCGTGTGCGCACATATCGAAGTTACGAGCATTACCGGGTTTTCTGGATGGCAGAGTGAACCGCCTGCTGCGAGATTGTAGGCTGTTGAGCCCGTAGGTGTTGAAACGCATATTCCGTCTGCGAGCACAGATGTGAAGTGCTCGTCATCCCCGAAGATTTCGGTATTGGACATTGCTACCGATGATTAGCTTGGGCCGGTTCGGTTGATTAAGTTGCACGTCAGACTTACTTGGATTTGGTCCTCTATCCACCACGATCTCATTGAGAATCTCATAAGTGCCATCTGGTCTGTGAGTATGTTCATCGTCCCGCTCCTTACCGATAAGTTCCTCTATAAGATCTCGCTTGTGGTGAACCCCTTTCTCGTCTACATAGTTAATCTGATCCAGCTGATTCGTCTTCTTTTGACTTCTCATTACTGTTCCCTCAAATCGCAGACGCAAGCTTACTGTCATGCCGTCTCTAAAGGCTGTAGAGAGTATATCCTGGTACTCATTGAAATCAAATTTGGTAAGGAATCCGAGACTCCCCAGCGAGAAACTCAGTACCGGTGGCACTATTCGTTGAAATAGCCAGCTAGCATACAGCACTGTTCCATCGCCTCCAAGGGTAATGATGAAGTCAAACGTATGTGGTCGCACGTGGCACATCTTCTCATTCCAGTAACGCAAGCGACCGTCCAATGTGCCGTTTGGAGTATTTCTATCCATTTGACCGGCGTCTATATACTCTTGGTGAAGTTCCTGTAACAATCCAGGCGCATCGAATCCTTCATTGCTTTGCAAGCTTTCTTCCACGTAGACAGTATAACGAACGTCCCTATCTTTGCTAAGGAGCCATTTCGCAACCTCTCTCGTCTTCGGTATTAATTCATGGTCATACGCTTTTGTTAAGAGGAAGATCTTCCTAGCCTTAAACTTAAGCCTTATATTTCCCAATCTTCTGCTAAGCTCCCGGACTCCCCAAGCCATATCGGTCAGCTGCTTTTTTGTAAGTAGTCGACTGTTGAGGCTCTGATGGTGATCTAAGCCAGCTTTGCCTTTTTTGACGGCTTTCCTCCATGCCCTCTCATCAACTTGTCCTATATCATTGCTGACATCACTGTCTGCTTCTGTTGTAGATACAGGCTCAGGTTGGCTAGCAGTCTTCCCTTTGGGTTCGACATATTCATCCAGGTCATCCTCGCTAGTGATCTCTTCGTGTTTATGCTTATCGTGATTTCGGTGAGCGCTTTTAGGCCTGTCATACCTATGGCCCTCAAGAAACTGATGTACTAAGCACTGAGTTGCTGATGGCCTGGACCCGGATGTCGCGAACTGGGCCGTGGTCGCTTCACTATGTATTAAGGAGCTTTTCCTCCGGTAAGGATTCCCCGAATCAAAAGTAACCTTTCCAAGAAGTGGTTTAGAGCCATGTTCACGAGATTATAATTGAGACGCGAAACGAACGTACCTCAACTGCATTATTATCATCATCACTAGCGCTAGAAAACCTATCCGGATCATCATATAGGTTTTCATTCGCGCCTTGCGAGTGATCGGCACCGTCGCCTGTCATAGCTAGTGCCAAGTAAGGAAGAAAAAAAAAAAAAAAGAGAAAGCAATCAAGTAAAATATCACAAGGACAAGCCACAGCCTTAGAAATTCCCGTCCTTTTGAATTTATATAGACAAATACCTAAAACTAAGCTTTATTTGAAACGCACCAAATAAACCGCGAGAGAAAGCACCGGAAGTCATTGCGTCAGTGCTAGTCTTTAAGTTCCACTTACACTTCAGGTTAGGTTAGAAGCTTATCTGAATGGGGTCTTACTAATGCCTTGCGGGAATTCTTATCGATTAACTATCCTTTGATTAGAGATTAGATTAGATTAGATCGCTTGCAAACTATCCGTCAGAAACTCTCCGCCAAAAACTCTCCGCTATGATATACATGTTTATGATTACTGGTCCCAAAACTCGCCATATGGATCCTCTCTCGAGGGCGGGTCTCGGATATACTCCTGGAAGAACCTGCTCAGCAATGCATCATCTTCCACCTCAGGAGGTCTCGTAACATTTACGGGCAGTCTCTGCCTAGTGGGATCTGCTGCTCTTTCTGTTTGAAATACCCTTTCGGTCTCAAATGCTATCGCATCGTCCCGCGCAATACTCGTCTGGATAGTAGTAAGAAGCTCGTTTAGCGTTGGCCGGTCTTCACGATCGTCGGCCATACACCGGGCTATCAACGTGCGCAGGTCGACGCTATAGTATGTGAATTCCTCGTACACCTCATCGCCGACTAAGAACGGAGCCCATGTGTTGAGGTCTTTACTTATGCCGTCCGGCATTATTACGTGACATATTCGTGGCTGCCAGTCCTCATCGTCGGTGTGGAACAGAGTCAATGCGTTGAACATTAACTAATCCAAAGGTCAATAAATCAATATATGTATTATAAGCGTTGATCGCCCAGTCGTTTCGATATACTTACTAGACCGATACCCCATATATTAGTGTGCGGTCCAAAGGCGCCTTCTTCTAAAGGTCTTCGCCTATCCCGTTGCTCCTAAATATGTGTTTAGCGTTCACAATACCTAGGTTGATATTCACTTCTCTTAGAAATAAATATGTAACGTACTGGGGCCTGATATCCGGGTTTTCCAACATTGGCTACAGCAAACTTCCTAGAGTGAGGCGTTAGAAGTAATCCAATACGGATAGAAACAACTGGATGGCATACTCTGCATCTTGCCACTAATATACCGCAAGTTAGTAGTCATTCTCTTGGAAGATAGGCCGTCGTATAAGATAGAATTATATGTAAAGTGAATGTAATATGTACTCACTCCATTATCCCATTCTTGCATCAGCCCAAAGTCGCCTAGCTATATAAAAGTTCAGCATGAAAATGTATAGATTACTTGAGGTTTTACTAAGGCTAACCTTCCATCTTGGGGTCAGCCCATGCTCTCGCACGTCGTCACGTGTGAGAAAGAAGTCGTCCATGAATACTGGATATCGTTAATTTAGACTTTCTGAGTTATGGCTGAGATATTACCATTGAGAGGGTGTAAGTCAAAATGAATTATCAGTGCCGGATTTTCGTCGGGTCTAATAACTTCACGATATACTGCTGGGCTATTGTTGTCTAACATCGGAGGATAAGCCATTCCAATACATGCTCTCGTAACTAATACAGTGAGTAGACCTTGTTAGTAACATAGTAGGATTTCGCGCTAGATCTAGCAGCTTACGACATAGGAATAGCCTCCATAAGAACCGACTGGGTATAAACTCTAGTTTCTTTCTATGATTAGGAAGATTCCTGTTATTCGAAACCGACTCATTTACGCGGGTTAATAGTTCGTATAATTCACATCTCTCGAAATAGTCCATTATCATTAAAGCTGGTGACCCGTTGTCACCGAAGTAATCATTATAAAGACTTTCATCCATAACCCAATCTGGCAACCAAATAAGTTGGGCAAAATGTTCACAGGTCGCAAATGTTTCCTAGTAATCTTGTTAAAACTGGCTAGTTGTGTATTATGAAAGTGGTGCAGCAGTACTCACCGACATCCAATTTATTTCTTGACGGAAATATGGATCGCCTTCATCTACAGGTGCCTTAATCGCCAAATCTCGTACCCGCTGTCGATATTGATTTATTTCGGTCCATAGAGTCACAACCCCTGAGCTTCCGAATCCTAAGACCTTACGAAACTCCAAAGATCTCGTATTTCGAGAGAAAAAATGTCGCTGACGCTGATATGCATCTTTCGCAGCCTCAAACACTTCATTGAGCTCGGCTTGCCCGACTCGCACGAACGGTCGAACTAGACACATGAATGTTATTATGACACATCGTTAGGCAGATATAGTGAATTGACATACGGACTGGCGTAGCCATAGTATCCCCATCTCCGCCGTGAATTGATTCTGAAATGTTTTCATCTAATAGTAGACGTAGACCGCATAGCGAGTATTCTAAGAGCACCAAGGCATAACGTGATAATAGCAACACATGGACAGCTGTTAATACAAGCTCCATTGTCTCCTAATTGGTATTGAAACTGAAACGTTGAACAAAACTAAGAGACAACTGTTTTCGGAAGAGACAAAGATACTGCTTTACAAGTCACCTTTGAGTTAATCGGTTCAGAACCAGCGACAAAGACAATCCAAGTCAGGGGTTGACACAAAAATGGTAAATGGTAAATCTAGGGTCTGAATATTATCATTGGAAAACATCTATGTTTAACTGCATAGGTACCTGAGGCAGATAGTCGTTTCTTGTGAGGTGAACTATCCCGTGAAAAGACAGACTCACAGGGGCGATACGCCGGTGAGATAGAACGGAGGACAACAACATCAATCGATCGGTGGTCTTTTTATCTGTATAATTCTACAAAATATAATTAGGTCTAGTTACATTTCCTATAAATTTTCATTAATTACACAGCTGCACTATATTTGGTAGGCTCGAAGATCAATTCTCCTCGGACTTAGTCGGCGCCAAACCGGCTCACTCCGGGTCCCGTCCGACATAGTAATCAACTCGACGGTGTTTGAACTTCAATCGGGAACACGGGAATACCGAGTCGGCGGATTTATTATGTGCGGGATACTGCCCTGACTGAGACCCCGAAATCCCGGTTTATCCCCGTGCCGAGCCGTCGGTAGCAAGACGGCGTCTAGATCTCGAGCTAGAGCTTGCGCGGGGTTGTTTGTAAGGCAATTCATTACGTATCGGCCCTCATTTCTTGCGACTCCTCATCTTTTTATAAACAATCGATTTACCCTCGAAAACTTTATTCCAGTCAACTGGCATAGAGTTCTCATTGTCTTTTTAACAAGTATTTCAAAGACTCACTGTGAAGATGAGCGACCACCCAAGAATCAGCGTCCTTGACGTAAGTTCTCAACATCCCCTATTGATTTAGAAATATTAACTGGCTCTTAAGGAAACACTGGTTGATGGTCTACCAAGTGTTTCGAAGACGCTCTTCCAAGCCAAAGCTAGACACGGATATACGTTCGAGGAGCTTGCACAGAAACTAGGCCGCAGCGAAGTCGCGGTTGCTGCTTTATTCTACGGCCAAGCCCAGGCATCCGATGAAGATATCGAGAAGTTGACAGAAGCTCTTGACCTCCAAAAGGGGGATTTACACTCGCTGTCACTCGGGTTCCCTAATCGGGGACGTGCGGGACCAATGCCTCCCGTAGAGCCGCTCATCTACAGATTGTACGAGATTGTACAAAACTATGGGTATGCCTTTAAGGCTGTTATAAATGAGAAGTTTGGCGACGGTATCATGAGCGCTATTGCGTTCTCTTCTAAGGTTGAGAAGGAGGTAGACAGTGATGGAGTCGCGTGAGTTGCCCCGTGTACTAATGAAGGCGATTCATGTCGAAAACTAACTTGAGATACAGCTGGGTCAACATTACGCTCCGAGGAAAATGGTAAGTGAACTTGGATTTAGTACCATAATTGTCGTCACGAGGATGTCACTTACATTGTATAGGCTGCCATTTACTCGATTCTGATTTGATGGTGCATGTGGTGGCGGTTTACTTTTGCCATACATTCAACCCCTATTTGGAGTACAGTCGCATCATATATGTAATTGATTACTTATATTAAGACTACATATGTCTTTATCTCCATGCCCTTAATGAACGCTCTTGGGATAATTGAATAGGGGCTTTGGGTTTTGGTCCTTGAAAGAAACTGTGATGGCGGGGTTAAGCCGGAAATAGACATTGTCGATGTTCTCGATATCCAAATAAGGGGTATATTGAAAACAATCTCGTGAACTAGTAAAGATACTTCTCGCTGAATACATCATTCATATCTGGGAACCAACATTAGACCTCCCGCTCATTAGAGATGGTTGGGTTCTCGTTCGTGGATGACGATGTCTTCTCTTTCTCATATCCTTCTCTCCAGAACGGTTCTACTCCCATCTCCTGGAACCTCTTCACTTCGTAGTCCTTCGTGACAACCCAATTGCTAATAAAAATAACTAGAACTAATAAAAAGATGCCCATGCCTGCTGCCAACGGTGCGATGATCGAAAACACTGTAAATCCGTAGCTGGCGTTCTGGAACGTCTCGTCTTCCTGTAGCCTTTCTACTCCCAGGCCGACTTGCATCGCCGTTAGCACAATGACGACGTACCCGAGAATGGTTGCCAGGGCGGCGAAGTTATCGCGAATCAAATCGCCATAAACGGTATGGGCTGTGATCTTGGAGTAGCCGCGTAAGATGAAACCTTTCCGTATTCGGTAGATCTTGTTCAGCCGGCTTAACCGGAGCTCGCCGTACCAGTACCGCGGGTTGACAGATCCATAGTCGTGGCCTTGTAGGATTTCTTTAGCGAAATCCTTCCATGTTTCCCATTTGATATAATCGGGTAGTAGTCCTTTCTCTTTCGCGATGCGGAAGTCGCTCTGGTACGCGATGAGAGCGGTGTAAGTGAAAAGGTAGCCCCGAGCGCATTTGGTTAGTTCGTCGTCTTGGATAATGTGAGCGGCCCAGAAATCAGGCTCAAAAAGGTATGGAGGAATAGGTTTCAAGAATATGCGATTCTTGGACCATACGAGATGGAGTTCTGGATTTTCGCTGATGGCGATGTCTCTTGAGAGGAGGATTTGGTAGTGTAATGGCCGAGGAGGCATTGGGCGACCACACATCCAAAGCCAATCTTGTACATCATTCAACCTTCTGACAAGGAGTTCCCGCTTGAGGAAGTCCGACTCCAGATCGGGGACAGCTATATGGTCACGTTCTGTACGATGCGAAGCCGGAAGGAGAGCATTGAAGTCTGATGCCTGTTGCGACGCGCTAGAATCCTCTCGTGACTTGAGCATTTGAGTTGTGAAGGGGATAGGCCATGTACCCATCGTTAACGATTATTACTTAGCAGCCAAGCCAGCCTTGAGGATGTCGGTATACACTTGAAATTGAAAAATATTTCTGTTTACTGTAGGATGACTTACGAGGGGCTATAGCACGCTAATATGACAATCGTCCATTCACATACTTATAGAATATACATAACTAACTATAGGGTAATCAAACTATTTTATGTGGCATACGCGCTCTGGCTCTAGTCAGGTGTCTATTTTAAAAGAAGTAAGCAGGGATTAAAATGATCAGCATTCAGCCCATCGCGGGTCGACATGGGTAAAAATCTAACATTGGCTGCGTCCCGCCCCCTTCCCCAGTATCTGGATTTTAGGGTCGGGGATCGCACCGAATTTGAAATTAACCCTTCTTCTCTCTTCTGCCTTATGCGAGTACCATTACGCAGGTACACTGGCACTGAGACAGACACACTATGAGCCTCGTCTATATTTTACCTTAATCAGCACAAGGAGATATGTAATATGTAATATATAATATGTAATATGTAATATGTGTAGCAAAAGCGCGCCACTGGGCATCCCATTTATCAGCATCCAGAAATAATATTAGTCAAGAAAAGTTCACCTTACATACATAGGTTAGGTACCTAGACATCCGAGTCTTTCATAACCCATCCAAGAAGTGATTAGTTAGTTTTGAAGGTGACATCGTGTGCCTAATGGGAGATGGAAAGCGACCAGATTATTTCAGCCTAAGGCAAAGCTAGACTGGCCCTGACAGGGCTTAGACGATTTCTGTAGCAATTTTAGTGCTGACGGACTAGCCCATGAAGCACAATTTGAGACGGAATCTATTATCAGCCGCACAGAATAGACCATGCTCACGTCATCCTATAATCAGCTAGACATGTACTTTCTCATGCTACCAGGCCCGAAAGGACTTTGGGACCATGGATCGTCCCGTCATCCTTTAGTTCTTAATTCTCTAGAGATTGGGGTCACCTGTTGTTTGGCTTGGCCTATAACTCCCGTCGCCCCATCCCATCCGTGAGAGGCCCCGACTTGAATCTCGTTGAAGAATTTCGGGATCTATAGTCGTGTCGTCATGTCTCTGCAACGCTCCGCGACGCGGAAGGCCGCCGCAGGGCCGGCCAGACGAAAGAAGGACTACGAGATCGTACAGCAGGGCGTCAAGGAGCTTTACCCGCTTGATAAATCTGATGTCGAACCGGAAATTGAGTAAGTTGGAGAAAACATGTACCAAATTTCGCTTTCTTGTTCTAATTCTTTTTTTTTTTTTAGCATCGTCTTCGTGCCCGGCCTCGGCGCACATCCAGGAGACAGCTGGAAATCAGAGAGCACCGGCTTTAACTGGACTACCGATGGACTAGTCAGAGATTTCCCGCGGGCTCGTATCCTGCTATACATGTACGAGTCAGCATGGACTGGTTCCCTAAAGGTGAAGCAGTTCATGAGCAATATTGCCATGACCTTGCTTAATGGGTTGAGGAGTAAGAGAGAGGTAGGCTAATCCCCGTATATCTTTCCTGTGCAGTAGCTTACATGACCATCTTGTGGTTGGCAGGGCGCTGTACAACGACGTCCAATCGTATTTATTGGTCATAGCATGGGAGGCCTGGTAATTGCGAAAGCGATAACAATCGCAGACTCTCGAAGGGATAAATTTCCTGTCATGTTTGAGGCTATCGCAGCGGCCATCTTCTTCGGTACACCCTTCAATGGAGCGCCAGTTGCTTCTGTCGCCGCCATGTATGCATACCTCGCCGAGAAGGCCGGTACAGCGTCTACTTCTAAGCTTCTAGACCTAATGAAGCCTGGCGATGAGGGTCTCCGTGAGCTAAAGCACGAATTTATGCGCCTTGTGGGAAAGTTAAGCCCGAAGATCGAACTATTATGCTTCTATGAGGAGCAACCGACCGATTTTGGTAAGATGGCTGGCCTGCCCGACCTTTTTGGCATGAGCAAGCTTGTCATTCCGAAATCATATGCCGATTTTGTGAGTCGCGACTCTGCGACCCTTCCAGGTGTCGAAGAACAAGGCCTGGCACGCAACCACCGAGATCTTGTCAAGTTCGACGGCCCAAAAGATGATCAATGGAACCAATTTGTGAAAGATCCCTTGAAGAGGATAATCCATGGTGCTCAATTAGCAGTCAAGAATCGTCTAAGTTCTGTTCGCGATATCGACCGGAAAATGATCAACAACATCATGGAAGCGTTAGATGGCGCACAGGTATCCAAGAAACGTAGGGCCCTAGCGCAAACATTTGCGTCATCCTCCTGGATCACGAAGGAAGAAGAGTATAAACAGTGGCTATCCGATGGGATTAAGACGGGTGACGAGGCTAATACAGCTCGTGCTGCTGATTGCCTATGGATCCGAGGACCAGAAGGTCGAGGGAAAACCAGTGCATCTTTAGCAACCGTTGACGAGATTGACAGGATCAAAGACACGGATTCAAACCAGGGGCCGGTCTTGCTTGCCTACTTTTTTTGCGAGTCGACCACAGATTATTGCACTGCCGAGGATGTTCTCAAGAGCATCGTGACTCAGTTAATCGACCAACAGGAGATGCTCGCTTCTTATGCCAAGTTATTTGCTAAGAAGCGAGGCGAAGGAAGCAAAGCGCAGGTAACTGTAGAGAACTTATGGCAGACTATTCAGGATATGCTCATAGATGAATTCATCGGCAGTAAGGTTATATTCGTCCTCAATAACCTGCACGTGCTTCCCGAAGATTCAGATTCTACTATTAAGTTGATGAGGTACTTGAACGCCGAGCTCCAAGGTATTAGCCATGCGGATACGAAACGGGTCCCGACAAGATGGATGATCACGAGCAGAGAAGCCCACAACATCGAGGAAGCACTCAAAATTGAGGGTGTCCGTCTTGTTGACCTTGAAGATGAGAAGTATGGGAACCAGGTTCAGATGGCATTGCGAAAGCGGGCCAAAGAGCGAGTCACCACGCTCGAGAAGGAGAAAAATTATAATAAGGCGCTTGCGTATTTTGCAAGCAGTCTCATCGGGAAACGTGCGCAAAATACCCAGTGGATTGATATCACATGCGTTCAACTTCAAGAGCTTCCAGAAGCCGAGAGCGATCTCAAAGTGCGCCGAATACTTGAAAGGATGCCTCAGGATCTAACGACGCTTCTGAACAATTCATGGCTTCAGATATTCAGAACTAATGAAGCTGAGGTTGAAAAGATTAAGGAGATGTTACGTGCTCTTGTCCTCACCTACGAAGACCCTACAGAGGAAGAGCTTCGTGTGCTTGCTGGGTTTTCCTCAAGCGAAGAGGAGAAAGCTGAACTCCGTAAGTTCGTGGAGATGTGTAAGCCACTTCTAGCCATTAAGCGAGCAAATAGTACGATCTCCTTCATGAACGTCGTGGTTAAAACACATCTCCTAGAGAATTCCAAGCAACTTCTCGGCATGTCAGGCGAGGAGAAGAAATGGCAACATGGTGTTCTTGCACTCAGGTCGTTCTTGCATGTAAACGAGAGCTTCAATTTTCCTAGCCATGAGCAAAATTCTGAAAGCGGCGAAGATGGTGCTTCGGCTGAGAAGGATCAAGACGAAGATGAAAGTGAGGAGGAAGAAGAAGACGACGATGATGACGATGACGATGACGATGACGATGATGAGTATGATATCGAGAGTGAACCAGATAGCTCGGAAGACACGGATCCCGAGGCCGATATTCTTCACGATCTAGCCCGTAAGTCTAAATCCCCAGCCCTGCACCATTGCCCACTCGAATAACTACTAACCTTTACCACTACAGTGCCATACACAGTTAAGTACTGGCTA